GTAGAGTCTAAAATAACGTTTTTTGTAAACAATACTCAATGCGCCATAATATGTGTCGAGTGACAAAGCCGTTCAGAGGCGCCGCGAAGTGCGCGGCGGTTATATTACATTTTCAATAACCAAACTAATCAACATATTTCCTTTAACATAAATAATATCTACGAAATAATAAAATTAAAATAAATATCTCTTCCTGAAATAAAAAAATATATTATGGGTATATATTTTAAAGAACACACTTCTTACGCTCCAAAAATATGCCACAATTAAAGTCCGATTTTGCACTTTTTTGTGCATCATGTACTAGTTCATTAAAACATTTTTTATACGTGGTAGAGCCATGATGTAGTTATATTAGTAGTGTAGTTGTAACACGAATGGCTCGGCTCGACCGGGGAAGGACCACGCTCTCACAGAATACCAGCGTGAAATATTAGCTTAATGCTGGCTGTGTTTCGTACGGTGAGTGTAGAAAACCGGAGACGGTTTTTACTGAAAATGAGGCATTCCATCTTAGTCGTCAGGTGGTGACAACGCATCTGCATTTTGATTTGTAATCGAGGATAGATGTAGAAATCTATGGGCCGCAGCAACTACTTACAATCAGGTGGACTGCGTGCTCGTTTGTCACCCTATTCTATAGAAAAAAAAAACATATAAAATAAAAAGGTGTATTCATTTCAACGATGAGGGGAGGAGAGATTCATTACGACGAAATGAGGGAAGGCCTGTGGCCAGCAGCGGGCTGTAACTTAACTAGCTTAACTATTTAAACGATGATAGTCTGAAATGTCGTGTAGTGGCGGTTGAGAATATCCACTACTCCATATCTTCCCGTGGATGTCGTAAGAGGCGACAGAGGGACACAGAAAGAAGATGGGCAGCAGCATCTTCCTAATAACAACAATAACATAATAAAAAACTGCGGCTGCCAACCCGCTCGCCAAGCTTGGCAACTATGGCAAATATCCCCCCATGAGAAACGACGTAAACAAACGGCCCCCAGTCCCCGGCGGCCCCGCTATTCCTGGCTACGGTGGCGACCATGGTAACGGCGGGGCAGGGGGTGCTAAGAATCTCCGGTGGAGGTTCGGTTGCCACCTACGACGACTCGACCTGGCAACGTATAACGCACGCACCCTGAGGACTGACGAGAAGATACTGGAGCTGGAAGAAGAGGTAGACAAGTTGCGCTGGCATATTATTGGATTATCTGAGGTCCGAAGAGGGGGGGAGGACACGGTAATCCTCGAGTACGGCAACTTGTTCTATCACCGGGAGGGCGACCATCTGTCCCAAAGAGGTGTCGGATTTATCGTCCACAAGTCTCTCGTCAACAACATTGTAAAGATTGGGAGTGTGTCGACGAGGGTCGCGTACCTGATACTCAGAATCACCAAACGGTATTCGATGAAGGTCATACAGGTCTACGCATCAACCTCGGCACATCCCGATGAGGAGGTGGAGGAAATGTATGAGGATATTTCTAGAGCCATGAATTCCTCCAAAACCCACTACACGGTGTTGATGGGAGACTTCATCGCAAAACTAGGCACAAGAGAAGGCGGAGAGCTGAAGTTAGGGAAATTTGGAGTAGGGCAACGGAACCGTAGGGGACAGCAGCTGGCTGACTTTATGGAGAAAGAGGAACTCTTTATGATGAGGCCCCACAGGAAGTGGACCTGGTCGAGACCCGACGGTTCGACAAAAAATGAGATTGACTTCATTATGACGACCAGACGCCAACTGTTCAGTGATGTCTCAGTGATCGCAAGGGTGAAAACCGGCAGCGATCACCGAATGGTTAGAGGCACACTGAACCTAAACGTTAAGTTGGAGAGGTCTCGTCTAATGAAGTCAACGCTCCGTCCCCCTCGTGCTCTAATCCAGAATCCCGAAACCTTTCAGCTCGAGTTACGCAACCGCTTTCAGTGCCTAGAAGATTGCATTGCAGTGGACGATATGAATGACAATCTTGTGGAAACTGTCCATGCGCTCGGAGCTAAGTTCAGCAAGACCCGCCGCAGAACACAAAAACTCTCCGATCACACTCCTAATCTCATGGCTGTTATACGGGAGATGAGGCTGCAATCGTCAACAGATTTGACAGCATACAGGCAACTGAACAGACAGATCTCCAAATGCATGCGGCGAGACTTACGCAACTTTAATACTGCTCGTATTAAAGAAGCGATCGAGCGGAACCAGAGCTCCAAAGTCTTTGCCAGAGATCTGTCTGCCAGAAAGAGCAAACGCAAGTGTGAGTAACGATCCAAGAGCAAGTATCCGACACTATTCCGATGATATCCCGGACGTCAGTCTGAGCGAGATTAGAATGGCTCTCCAGCACCTTAAAAACGGCAGGGCCCCAGGCGAGGATGGAATTACAGCGGAGCTTCTGAAAGCGGGTGGAACACCGGTACTTGAAGTCCTTCAGAAGCTCTTCAATTCCGTCCTCCATGGTGGCACTACTCCGGAGGCGTGGAGCAGAAGTGCGGTGGTCTTGTTCTTTAAGAAAGGCGACAACGCTCTCTTGAAGAACTACAGACCGATTCCCTTCTGAGCCGCGTCTACGTGCTGTTTTCGAGAGTCATTACGAATCGTCTCGCACGCAGACTCGACGATTTCCAGCCTACCCGAACAAGCCGGTTTCCGAAAAGGCTTCAGTACCATAGACCACATACATACCCTGCGGCAGATTGTACAGAAGACCGAAGAGTACAATCTGACACTTTGCCTGGCGTATGTGAACTATGAGAAAGCCTTTGATTTCGTCGAAATTTGGGCGGTACTACAGTCTCTTCAGCGGTGACAAGTTGACTGTCGGTATATCGAAGTGCTGAAGTATTTGTACAGTAGGGCTACGATGGATATCCGAGTACAGAACTAGAGTTCGAAACCTATCCAACTGCAGAGAGGTATAAGACAGGGTGACGTTATATCCCCGAAACTCTTCACTGCTGCGTTGGAAGACGTTTTCAAGCTACTGGACTGGAAAGGATACGGTATTAACATCAATGGCGAGTACATCACTCACCTTCGATTTGCCGACGATATAGTCCTTATGGCAGAATCGCTGGAGGACCTTAGCACTATGCTCAATGACCTCAATAGTGTCTCCCAACGGATAGGTCTTAAGATGAACATGGACAAAACAAAGATCATGTTTAATGTCCATGTCACACCTATGCCGGTAGTTGTTGGGAGCACTATGCTCGAAGTTGTTGACGAGTACGTTTACCTGGGACAAATAGTCCGACTAGGTAAGTCCAACTTCGACCGAGAGGTCAATCGACGGATTCAACTCGGCTGGGCAGCGTTCGGGAAATTACGACACATCTTCTCGTCAGGTATACCTCAATCTCTGAAAACTAAAGTGTACAACCAGTGCGTGTTGCCAGTGATGACTGACGGATCTGAGACGTGGTCCTTCACTGCTGGCCGCATGAGGACGCTCAAGGTCGCTCAGCGAGCTCCGCTTTTTTATCCTGTACACATCAACATATGGTAGAATGAGTAAGACATAGTGCGTAATGCTTTATTTCGACCTTAAAAGAGCGGGTAAAAATGTCCAATACTTGGACACCCGCAGTCAACGGAGATATCGGATTCGTGTCCAAGTGTTATATATCCGCAGTTGAGTGGGTATAGTTGGCAACACTGCGTATAGGCCGACGCTTCACATAGCGCTCTAGGCCGTAGAGAGAGAACCTATAGACTAATGATTAGCGTGGCCTCGAGTGATAAAGGACGATAACGTAGTTTTAGGTTATACAATAATCATATATGACTTTTAAACATACAAAACATTTAATTGTTCTAAGAACTGAACTTAACAAGATTCACCAATCTTAAGCTCACAAAACACTTTTTTCTCACTTAAACCAACTTGTAAACTCCTTAGATCGCTACGAACTGTCAAAGTTGTTTAGCAAAGTGTAGTTTGCTAAACAAAAAAAAAACCGGAACGGAGAAAGGGACAAACAATCACACCGCTCTGTCTCATTTCTATGCAAGACGTATGCATAAATCTATCTTTTTCGTGTGGGAATACGAAAGAAGGCGTCAATTTGTCTATAGGTTTCTCTGTCTACGCTCCAGGCTCTAGTGCTCGATAAACTGGAGAAACGGAATCGGTTGTAAAGATATTCTATGGGAATCGGAATAGCCGCGTACTGACCAGCCTCGCGAGGCTGCCTCGGACATTTGCGGCAGTATGCATGCCGCGCGAGGCAGCCTCGGTCTGTAAGTTTTCTAATCCGAGGATGCCTCGCGCGGCAAGGCCGAGCCACCGTGAGCATCGACGCTCAGTTTAACTTGAAGTCGAATAGAGACCGCGCGTGCGTATAGTTTGCCCGAGGCCACGATGAGGCCGCACATTCGGAACGCTGTCGCTACCACTGCCTTTTTAATAATTCTAAGGCTTGCAAAAAAAAAAGAAAACAGAAAATTAAACGTTTTTGGATTACTCTTATACAAAATAGATTACAGGCTGGGAACAGATTGTTTGAAGAGTTGTGCTTCGATGACGAAGAAAAAAAATTCACTCGAATGAGTAAAATCGAATTTGACAATGTGTATTCTCTCATAAACGCCAAAATAAGCAAGGACACAAATTTTCGAGAAGCAATATCCGCTAGGGAAAGATTATTAGTTACGTTGAGATTTTGACCACAGGAGATTCTTATACCAGCCTATAGTATCTATTTCGTATATCAAAACAAAGGATATCGGTTATAGTTCCTGAAGTCTGTGATGCTATAATTGAGGTGTTAAAGGATTATGTTAAGGTAAAATAAAATTACATATTTTTATTATTTTATTACTAATCAAAATAGAAAATTGGACAAATAATATAAGAAAATTAAACAAACAAATACTTAACGATGGGGAGCTGGAGAAGGAGGAGGGGGAGGCATTGGTGAGGCAGCAGGCATCGGTGAGGAGGAGGGGTGGATAGGAGGCATCGGTGAGGTAGGAGGATCAGTAAGGTAGGAGGCATGCGCGAGACAAGAGGCATCGGTGAAGTAGGAGGCATCAGTGAGGTAGGAGGCATGGGCGAGGCAAGAGGCATCGGTGAAGTAGGAGGCATCACTGAGGTAGGAGGCATGGGCGAGGCAAGAGGCATCGGTGAAGTAGGAGGCATCAATGAGGGAGGAGGCATCGATGAGGCAGGAGGCATCAGTGAGGTAGGAGGCATGGGCGAGGCAAGAGGCGTCGATGAGGAAGAGGGATGAGACATATATCTTAAATTGTCGTGTTCACCATATGATTGAGTATAATAACCATAACCACTTAACTACCACTAACACAGCCGAGGAATTTCCCACATGTCATAGGTTTTAATGTGTAATCATTGCTCTCAATGATTACACATTGAAACCTTATGAAGGTACTCCAGAAAGAGGTTCAATGTTAGTTTTCAATTACAGGCTGTCCAGAGCAAGAAGATTCGTGAAGAATGCCTTTGGCATTTTAAGCTCCGTTTTTAGAGTACTGAGGAAGCCGCTACTATTAGAACCAGAAAAAGCTACGAAAGTCGTATTGACTACCATATGCTTATATAACTACTTGCGTAGAGATCAAGCTTCCTCACAAAGGTTCACTCCCCCAGGATCATTCGATGCCGAAGTTGAAGGGACAGTAATACCCGGCCGATGGCGACAGGATACAGAAATCTCATAAATACTATCTATTCAAGCCATACCACGGCGAGTATCAACAAATATAAAAGAAAAACGTTCACATTTAGGGAGACATTTCATAACAAACGGAGCAATTTCTTTGCAAAATAATTATCAGTAAATAATAGGTACTCACTTCTTCACCAAAAGTATCTTGTGTATTTCCTGGGTGATTTCTGTCTCCCAGAAAACTGAAAGCTTCATAGGCATACCAATTCGAAACATATATTTCACCACGACCTGCAGTATAAAATAAAACAAAATATTAGAAATTACATAAAAACTGGTGTAACTTTGTATATAATAAAATGAATGTTGTCAACCCTAATCATAAACATTAAATAATAAATACCTGATCCTGTGATTCGGCTTTTTTCTCTCTCGACTTTTCCCTCCTGTAAGACCCTAGTAAAGAGTCCATTTTTTTTCTTTAATTCAGCTATTGGAAGGTTCATTTCCTAGCTTATTTTTCTCCATGCATCTTCCCTTAGTCCTCTATTTGTGTAATCAGGACATTGCGCATCCCAGTCGTTTATATTCACCATATAGTTGTATTAATTTAAGACACTGTTCTTTATTCATGACGCACAACTAACACACAACGAATAAGCGAGGCAAAATACTACCGTCTTGAGTTAGCGTGGCAAACGCTTGCTACATATTTATTTATCTATGAAACGTACTGAGGCGCCTTTGAGCATCTACAAAAACCGACAACGCTCGGCTCGGGCCGCGGCACTCTCGGGCGAAGCAGCGCGTGCGTTTGCCTCGGGCGAGGCACATCTTGACCGACCGAGGATTTGCCTCGCGAGGCTGCTCGCTCAATCAGTACGCGGCTAATGACGAATGACGACTTATTTGTTTGGCGTCATAGATTTATATTAGACATTATCATAATTAACTCAAAATGCATTTCCGACATCCAAAAACAACTGACAAGCCATCTAAACTGATAACATAAATAAAATCAAGACAACAACTGACAATTGATAATTGATAGAATCAGGTGTTACTTTGCGGAAATCCATTATAATAAAAAATAAAAATATAAATGTCTTTGCAACCTTCCGCTAAATAAATACAATGATGTGTCTTACCTGGATTGAAGAGCACCTCCCGCCCTCCCTCAATTGCATGCACTAACTCCGTCACCACTAGTAGTGGTGCTGGAACTTGCATTTTGAACTTTTTTGACTGAATTTGCAACTCCAGTTGGAGTTGTGGCCAGGAAAAATAAATAAAGAGAATGCCTTGTGGCTTAAGTCCACCTTTTTATGTACTAGGTGTACAACTAAAGCCTTACTAAATAAATAACTCATATGGATTATGACATTCTATATAGAAACATATTAGGACATTCTATATATGGACTATATTGGTGTGAGCACCTACAGCTTCTGAGTACACACTCATGTTATTGGTTAAAATGAATTTGTAAATATCTAGTCCCACAAAATTTATTGAGTAGGTACTTGATATTCACTCTGAACATAGTACACTGTATCCTTGTGTCACCTAAATTCTAAAAAAAGAATTTTTTTATTGTAACGTCCAGGTGTCAATTCCGAATGTGAATATTTGTAATACATATTATGTGAGCTTTTAGGCTGCTGCAACCTTATTATATGTGAGACCACAATGACATGATCTTAGATATTTTATATAGATGAAGTGTAGGGTGATCACCCACAAGATAAGAGTGACGACTTGGTAAGACACGTAGAAAGTCAACGGATGCATTTTGGTCAGGACCATGTTCTGTGGCATTCTTAGGGGTAGGTCTACGTTCAGCAGTGGACTTGTGAAGGACTGTAATGATGATGTTGATGAGGTAGGTATATGATTTATAGATATATGAGAAAACTATGACAGTTAAGTTTGTACATATGAGTCAAATGTACAAAGAGTCAAAGATTTCTCATATTTCTAAGAATAGTACAATAGAATCTCGATAACTCAAATCTTGTTCTCAAATTTATGAAATATTCTTTTACGAGCCAAGCCATAAGGTTATGGAATGAACTCCCACTCCAAATTCGACGTGCGCAAACTTTGGTAAGTTTCAAAAGTGACGTCAAGAAGCATTACCTAACACTTTGTGGTATGTACATCTAGCAACAGACAGTTATTCTGTGTTTTTCTTTTTTTTTCCTCTTTGTTTTGTATTTATTTATTATCTATGTATATATATATGTGTATATATTTATATATATACCTATTTATTAATATGTATGTTTATTTTTTATGTATTATTGTGGAATTTTAACAAAATATAGTTTAGTTTATTTAGATATTAGAACGTAAGTGTAACATAAAACGCACCACCTCCTACTGTTCTTAATTCCAGTTTCTCTTAGCCCAAAGTTTGTCTGTAAGAGATCGCTCTTTAGCGATAAGACTGCCTTATTGTACATACGAGGTGTGTTCAAAAAGTAAGGTGACTTTTTGAATTTCGCGGGCAACGCACATTCGATTTTCGATTTTTGTATTTTGTTGCGTTGGTACACATGTCCTGAGCATATGTTTCAAGTTTGAATTGTATAGCATGTTTAGTTTATTTTTGACAGTTACAAAGGTGAGACGTACTTTGGTGTGCTCGGCGATTTTCTTCTATCAAAAAAAACGGATCAAAGAATTTGCATCAAATTTTGTGTAAAAAATGGAATTACGTGCTCCAAAACACTTGAAATGTTGACAGTGGCATACGGTGAGTCTACTCTTAGTAAAAAGAAAACGTTTATAAGTGGTACAAGCTCTTTCAAGATGGCCGAGAAGATGCCAATGACGAACCTCGCTCTGGACGCCCCAGCACGTCAACAACCGATGAAAACGTTGAAATAGTGAAGAAAATTGTTTTGGACAATCGTCGAATCACTATCAAAGAAGTTGCGGAGGATGTTGGCATATCGGTTGGCTCTTGCCATGAAATTTTTTCGGATATTTTGCGAAATTTGTTCCAAAATTGCTCAATTTCGCTTTTTGCTTGTGAGAGGTTTTTTGACCAAAAACAACACTACAATCATGCCTCAGCCACCATATTCACCGGATTTGGCCCCATGTGACTTTTTCCTGTTCCCAAAACTGAAGAGACCTATGAAAGGACGAAGATTTGCAACAATTGAAGAGATAAAAACTGCATCGCTGAAAGAGCTGAAGGCTATACCAGAAAGTGATTATCAGAAATGCTTTGACGATTGGAAAAAGCGTTGGCACAAGTGTATTATATCTGAGGGGGGATTACTTTGAAGGGGACAACATAAATATTGATGAATAAATAAATAGTTTTTCATAAAAATATAAAGTCACCTTACTTTTTGAACACACCTCGTACGTATATATTAAGTTTTCTCTGTAATGTATTTATTCATTGTATATGTGTGGTGTACAATAAAGTATATACTACTACTACTTGTTGTCATAATTGTGAAGTCAAAAAAATGCCATTACCTTTCGCTGAAACCCTAAATATGCGGTGTCTCAAATTAAGCACTTGTGATCCCAAAAAAATAAAATAAAGTTGAAGCTATGTTATAATTATAGCAAGTATTGAGGAGAGTTTTATGTTTTTTATTATTGTTTTAATATTTGTTTAATCCTTGGATGCTTTTATTTTCGCATGCTATGTATATGAGATTTTATTTCACTAAATATTCTATATTCTTATTTAGTGAAATAAATATTATTATTATTATATTTTCAACACTAATTTGCTTTAAACTTATAATTTGACCAAGAAATTTTTAAGTGTGTGTGTGTGTGTGTACAAGTAATGAAACAACATGATATCGACTGAGTGAGATAGCTATTCCATACATTCAGATACAGTTAATGCTGCTTAGTAGTACTGATGACGGAAAAGAGCTAATAGAACTATAGAACAAACTAGTTCACCATCTAAAATGAACTAGTACTGAGCGATCTTTAAAATGACAGCAGGCACAAGACTATTTGGAATTCTCCGAACTCATAGCAATAAAATCCAAAATGTATGTCCAGTGCCTCAATCTACTTTTTGTGCCTTCGATGTATGTAACATAATAGATATAATGAATCAATATATTCAACTAACTTTGTAGGTAATACAGCTGTGTACCTTTTGTTTGTTCATTGTCGATCAGAACTTATTTGACTATTAATTAGTAACAAGATGAGTACTAAAAGGAAGCTATTTTAACCCTACATGAATACTTTGACATTATCAAAAGTGGTAAAAAGTGACACCAGAAAACACTGTGTGCAATAATTAAAAAAGAATTTGAAACATTTAAAATATGAATCAAGTAGTGATGCATACTCACCTGGTTCAGTGTTGTGATAAAAACTAAAGGCCTATTTTACGCAGAAAAGCTGTAATTTGTTTGTATATTGTTAAAATATGTGTCATGAAATTTAACTTTGTCTCAACAAGTCACAAAATATACTTAAAAATCTCAAACTTCTTGTTAAGTCGAAAACTCATTAACTTGAAAATTTTCCCTTGAAAAAAACAAAAAAGAAGGACCTGTTAAGATAAGACTAAATATAAAACATAAACCACATTTTGGGTAACACCA